AGCTGGGAAGGGAATGGAGAGTTCCTGAGGAGCTGGGAAGGGAATGGAGAGTTCCTGAGGAGCTGGGAAGGGAATGGAGAGTTCCTGAGGAGCTGAGGGGGCTCAGCCTGGAGCAAAGGAGGCTCAGGGGGACCTTGTGGCTCTGCACAGCTCCTGCCAGGAGGGGACAGCCGGGGGGATTTGGGATCTGCTCCCAGGAACAGGGACAGGAGGAGAGGGAACGGCCCCAGGGGAGCCTCGGGGTGGATATTGGGAGGAATTTCCACGTGGGAAGGGCTGCCCAGCATTGGAAGGGGCTGCCCAAAGAGGCAGTGGAGTCTCCATCCCTGGAAAGGTTCAAAACCCTGTGGATGTGGCACTTGGGAATGGGCTTCAGTGGGAACGTGGTTGTAGCTGGACTTGAAGATCTTGAGCAACTTTTCCAACCTTACCAATTCCATGATCCCACAATCTCTGTCCTTTTCCAGCTCACCAGTCCACACAGAAGGGAACTTTGGGTTCATCCACATCAAATTGATTCAGGAGCTGTTTTTTTCCCTACTGGAAAAGCTCCTGGGCCACCACCACGATTTCCCCCCTGGCCCAGCCTCCACCAGGAAGGTTTGTGGCAGCAGAACCACCCGACCCCGGAGCTCCCTTTCACTCCCACACCAGCCATGGCACTTCCCAAACTTCCCAGGGTGCAAGAAAGGAGTTCTCCATGATTTCCCCTCCAGCATCTGCATCCCATCTCTCTCCCTGCTGCAGCAGCTCCGGCTCTGCTGGCTCCCTGCCCTCCCCAAAACCTGCTCATTTCCTTTATGATGTACGGAGCTTTTACGAGCAGGAGCCCAGCATCTCTTCCAAAGATTATTTGATTTGCTCAGATCCCGAAAATCCCACCAGGAAAACGGAATCCGTGTCGGGTAATTGAAAACCACTCCTCAAGCGACGCCGAGGCTGGAGGGCTTTGCTGTTACAATTACCCAGCTCCAGGGAAAAGCAGGAGGGAGCAGATCCCTGCACGCTCCGGGGGTTTTGGGGGGCAAGGGGCCGTGTTTGGGATTGTTCCTGGAGTCTCCTGGATGAAAAGAGGGATGGCTGTTTACACAGACCCCGTGCAGCTAAGCTGGGCTTTGCAGAGCTGGGGTTTGCTAAGCCAGGCCAGACACCCGGAGGGGACAGCCAGGTGGCACGGGAGGGACGAGCACCGGGAGCGCTCCGGGGATTTGTGGGATTGTGGGAATCCAGGGAATCCCTCTGGCTGCCCTGGGACCCTGGCAGGGCTCAGGAACCCCCTGGACAGAGCCCCCAGAGACACTGGCTGTGATCTCTGCCCATGGAAAAGAGTTTTCAATATTGCAGGGTGAATTACCAGCTCTGAGTGATATAATTAATAATTAAGTGTGGCACGGGTGCAAAAGTAAAATTTTAGGCTTCTAGATTAGGGGTCCAAAGGGGACAAGCTGGAGGAAATTGGGTGTGCCTTGTCCTTTTTCTCCTTCTTCATGCCCTCCATGTCTCACTGTGGTGTTGGCATTTTTCTGTTGGTTCAGGCTGGGGACACACTGTCCAACGTAGGTGACAGATATTGGCACGTTCTTGTAAATCCAGCCCAGGGAGTTTCTGGTATTTAATGTTTGTCACATCCCACTGAGGGCAGAGCCCCACACGCTGCCCTGCAGGACAGAGCTGGGCAGGGCAGCAGAACATGTGAGAGATAAACAGAATAAACAACCTGGAAACCAGCACAGACCAATTCTGGCTTCTGCTTTGGCAGGGGGGTGACAGACAGAGACTTTCTGCAATCTCAGAATCATCAATTCCTCAGATTCCAACACGGGATGGCCAAGCTGTTCCTTCACCCTCACCCCTGGAACAGGGAGCAGGGGGCTCACAGAGTCCTTGGGATCATCCCAGAGCAGCAAGGGGGGCTGGAGAGGAACCCTGGGAACAGAGCCACCTCTGGATGTGTCCCTGTCCCTGCTGGTGACTCCCACCGCCAGCCACCGGAGCCATCCTTCATGCTGGAATCCCAAAAACTGCTCCCAGCACTCTTCCCTACACATGAGGGGGAATTCCTTCACCAGAAGTGTTGTCCAGCCCTGGCAGGGGTGGACTCCCCATCCTTGAGGGATTTAAAGTCATGGATGTGGCACCTGGGGACACGGAGCACGGGTGGCCTGGGCAGGGCTGGGAATGGTTGGACTCGATGAGCTCCGAGGGATTTTCCAACCTGAGCAATTCTGGGATTCCATGAAGTCAAGAAGGAATCACCTCTGGTTTATGACTGACAGGTCAGAAAGGACCTGGCAGCCAGGTGAGCTGAGATTCCTGGAGAAGAGGGGACAGCCCCACCTGGGACAGCACTGGGTGAGGAGGGATAAAAATCCACCAGGAATGACACAGCTGAGAGGGAATCATGGAATGTTTGGGTTGGAAGGTTGGAAGAGACCTTAAATCCCATCCAGTTCCATGGCCAGGGACACCTCCCACTGCCCCAGGCTGCTCCAAACCCCAACATCCAAACTGGCCTTAGACATTCCAGGGATCCAGGGGCAGCCAAAGCAAACCTGGGAATTCCATCCAGCCCCTCCCCACCCTCCCAGCCAGGAATTCCTTATTCCCAAGATCCCACCATTCTGTCCATGCCATGAGTGTGATGGCAGCTCTTTGCTGAGCCACAGCAGGGCAGCTGGAAACCACAGAATCCCAAAATCATCACGGCTGGAGAAGACCATCCAGAGTCCAACCATCCCCACTGCCCCACGTCCCCAAGTGCCACATCCACAGGGCCTTGAAACCCCTCCAGGGACAGGGCCTCCATCATGCTGGACAGCCCTTTCCATGAGGAATTTCCATGAGGCAATTGCATGAGGCAATTCCCCGAGGCTCCCCTGGGGTCGTTCCCTCTCCTCCTGTCCCTGTTCCTGGGAGCAGATCCCAAATCCCCCCGGCTGTCCCCTCCTGGCAGGAGCTGTGCAGAGCCACAAGGTCCCCCTGAGCCTCCTTTGCTCCAGGCTCAGCCCCTTCCCAGCTCCCTCAGGAACTCTCCATTCCCTTCCCAGCTCCCTCAGGAACTCTCCAGCCCCTTCCCAGCTCCTCAGGAACTCTCCATTCCCTTCCCAG